GGCACGTGCGGAAGGGTGCCCACCGTTGCAGCCGGGCTGCCGTGAGGGGCGTCCGGCTGCCGCGTTTAAACACGGGCACATGCGCGAAAGATCGCCCACCGTTGCAGCCGAGTTGCGCCATGGAGCGTCCGTCTGCCACGTTCAAACACGGGCACGTAGGGAATGGTGCCCTCCGTTGCAGCGCTGCAGCGTACTCGCAGTGTGTTACAATTGTAGTGCCACCGTGCACGAGAGCAAAACTCATCCCGGGGCAAGGTCGGTGACGCGTTAGGGCCTATCCAGCAAAACCTGTAGCTACCCTTAGTGTCAACCTCAAATATAAGCGGTAAATACGCTGATTTACCTGCGAGCGGCACATAGTAATGGGTAAACGCTTAAATAGGCATGACGTGAATCATTGCAGCCTTGTGTTTAATCCACCAAGCTCATCGCGGATTTCCAAAACCCTGACTGCTAAGGGCGCTGAGTCCGATCACACCGATTCTGGCAGCCAACCGATCACGTGACCAGGGCTCTTGAGTAGACGCAGACAAGCTGCGTATTGACTAATCTCTCGCAGTGTAAACCCACGAAGACGCCAATACTTTGATTCGAAAAATCCCGACCCACGCGTCTACGCACAAATGCCCGAATAACGTGCAAAACTATTGCTAATAAAACGGCTTTGCCCGACTATTTTCAATTGCTGTCTTAAAGCCTTGCAGTTTGATGTAGACTTGTGATCTCGCATATCCACTGCTCATTACCATGTGTGCGGTCGCTCAAATTACCTGCATCCCCAGCAACCACATCTCGACAAATGACTACCCACATACTTTAGGGGCCTTACATTTTACATTCATTCGTCATGTGATCACCCACCGCAATCCCACAGAAGCTGTCCTTGTCAGTGGGCAACTCGGCAGCTTACGATCAGTGCGGGGTCCGCCGCAGCGACGGCGCTGGCAGGCCATTACATAAGTTGTTCAGCGGGCTCCAGACAGAGACGTCACGGTTGCACTCGCTGGCAGGGAGCAGTTTCCAGGCAGGCAACTCAGGCAGGCAACTCCAGGCAGGTACGCCTGCGGCGGCAGCGTTGTGGCACATAGTGGGGTCGTCACGTGCTGTGGCGAACCACCTCAGACTAACCCGCGCAATTACTAACGGAGTAGCTCGTATGTTCACTGCTTCTTTTTTATAAGCATAGCCAGACAAAGCTGCCGAACGGGTACCGTTCAATGAAGAATCTACCAGGGGCATGAGTTATTGGTCGCATTTATCAATCTCTGGTTTGGAAATTACGTCGTCATCTTTGTATTAGTGAAGGTTTCCCGGACCACTTGCTTATTGATGCTTTTACTACACCTATATCTCCGGCAATTCCAACCGAATGGCACGAAATTTGCAGAACAAGAGAACTGTGTTGCGCTGAAACTGATCTTAGCATTAAGTAATAAACGTATTAATAATCAAGCTGGAACGCTTATTCAGTCGCGTCCTTGTTATATAACGTGTGGGCTACCTGGTTCCTATCCTTGGTCAATTTTACGGCACCTCTGTCCTTGCCTTCTCTCATAAAATGCCTGTTCCTGGCATGTTAATCCTTCCTCAGTTGGCCTCCAAACGGCTATCTGCATGGCGTCACGCGCCGTGTTTGCAGTCCATACCCACAGGAATGTCAAAGCTCGTACAGCTCATGCTACATGGAGAGGGTGTGTGAGTAGTAGAGTTAGTAACGAAAAGGAATGCAGACGGGACGGGGCAGACTTTTGGCTCCATGCTTCCGTTCGACTCACACTGAATGGCTCGAGGGCTTGGTTGCCGTGGGCAGGACGGTCGCCGCCTACGTCCGCAGTGGAGGTTAGGAGATCATCGCTGACAAGACCCGCGAAGGTACGTTTCTCACACGGGCCCCGGGCAATGAACTGAATGGAAATGAATGAAACAATTCTGACGCAAACAGCTGAAAGGAATAAAAGTCGACAGGAACAAAAATAGTATCGGGGAAAGTTTTGATGGATAAAAGGTCAAAGCAAATATGATTTAACAATTTCAACAAAAATTTGATTTAATAAACAAAAGAACAAAGCGAATATAATTTAACAAATTCAACCAAAGTTTGCTCTAAGAAAACGTTCCACATTTGTATGGGATTTAAATTGAATCAGCCATCTTGAATACCATTTGGTGCAGTTCACAGCCCAGCTGTTCTAAGACCTGAGTCGTACTAGTTTCTGAGCTACACGCCCGCTTAGATGTCAAGACCATTTAGAGTGGACCATTTCAAAGCCACCCAGGCATCGTTGACAACATTATAACGTCATTCAAACCTTGTCATTCCGTTCGCCATGTGGCAATCAAGACCAAAAACTATGTAACTGTCGATTTGTTCGCATTTGGCGTTCGCGAGCAAGATTTCCTGATATAAGAGCTGTTAATTGGCTGTCGATCAATGTTGTGCAACGTACGATGATGTAAACAGACAATGGGACTTTGACGAGCATATCTAGTCAGCAGAGAATTGTGTTGTCTAGAGGACCGCTTTTATTTAAAAGCATTCCAGTAGTTATCAGTGAGCTAATTTCATCGTGTCTGATGTTTGCTTCAAAATTCTCAACTGTTGAACATTCCCTTGAATGTCAAATCCGAAAAAGTGGAAGGGGTAAAAGTCAACAGAGATACAAGTTAGTTTGGAAAACAATTCAAACGACACGAATTAC